ATCATGCTGAATCTTAAAGTGTAGACAACATTTTCTCTGGCAGAAGGGGAAAAATGAAGACTGTATTTAACACTTTCTAGTTTGTACAGTTTTTTCATATATAGACTCATTTTATTGTTGTGGCAAGTCCTTAGGGAAGATAGAGAAAGCATTTTTATTCTAGCCCACAAATGGATCCTGATGCACAGAGTGGTAAGTAACTCATCCAAGGTCTAGAGCCAGAAAATAGAAGCCACTTACCACTCCAGCTCCTGCAGAGCCTCTGCCTACATGAGCTTATATACCTATTAATCATGACTGTCATACAGATATAAAAAGAATATGTATTAAAGATATTTAACTCATTATTAATGAGCAGCCTTGGAGGACACTACAGCCAGTTCAAAGAAGTAGTCAAAGATGCACACATTTATATGGAGTAAAGAAAGGTTGAAATGGATTTAAAAATAAATGGGAAACTGGATTTTTCACATGGTAGGAGAAGAAGGGAAGTCAGTTGACTCTCCACCAGACATAATTTATTTGCAAGTGTATGGACAAGAATTCTTTTTCGTTGCTACCAGTTACCTACAACTTGCAGAGTTTTAAAGCAGCTTAAAGGAAATGAAAGACTGAAATAAAATAACCTGGAATAATCTGCTCAAAACAGTGCATAGTTTCCGTTCGAGAGGGCTAGTAATCCTTTTGCTTATTACAAGTTTTCCTATTCACCTGAGTTATAGACATAAAGAGAACATAAATAAAGTAACAGCAAATAGTACAAGGCCACAGGGCTGGAGGTGAGAGTTAGGGATACTTGGCACCATACCTTGAGCTCACAAGCTAGAGTTTCCTGGAACTTAATCAAGGGTGAGGAAAGCAGTTTGTGCTAAGAAGAGCCATTCAGAGAGGTTTGCTCTAAGCCAAGTCAGTTTTGAGTTCAAGGGAAGCTTGAAGGTGGGGTTTCTAAGTTGCTAAGTAATGACAGTGGTGGGTGCATTCCAGGCCGGCCAATTTTATAGCTCCCAGACTCAGAGATGCAGATCAACATTTAATTAAATTTATATCTAGCATAGCTTGTTTAAAAATAGAAAATAGCAATTAATTTTGTGAGATCAACATGGATACACTTTCTTTATTACCAGAAACTAAGGGTACGAGGTGAACAAGGAAGATGTTTTATTGATGTTCTAATGAGGGGTTTGCACAGACATGCACTTATGAAAGTTGCATTCATATCCATATATGTGAATATATAGTTCATCCCTAAAAATGTAATTATGTACTTATACAAGGTGAAGCAAATATTAACACATAGCCTTGCCCTTATATGGAGGCAGTCGCCT